AACATATTTAGGCTCATATTTAGGCATGTTTTAATAAAAGCCAGATAGCAAAGCGCCGGACTTGCTAAACTTGGTACGTACAGACTATTAATAGCATGAGTGGGTGCTGCTTCAGAGTTTAACACATGCAGCACATGTGCTTGTGTTTTGATCCTTTCTTGCATGCGATGGAAAAGGGCATTGGCTCAGGTGCGACCCCCAAATTCAAATTTAGCTTTTACATATCCTGCACGCCATGTAGAAGCCTGAGAAATTTTTGGAAAATCACAGGAGGCGGTACGACCAGGAAGCTACAATTTCAGGACGTTGTTTTTGCCTGTTTAAATACCTAACAATCTCGGGTTTAACTCCCACATACGCCTATGTCTCACACACGGACAAGTAAAAGTTTTAGTGCGAAACCCACTGATTCGGAAGCTAGAAAACTAACAGTCAGAAATTCTGAAAGATGTTCTCTGTCTATATGCGATCCAAAGTTCAACTTTTACGTACGCGAACGTTCCACCTACCGGTAAATGAAATTTCTGGCAAAAATTTAAATTTCACAGCTTAGGAAACATACAACACAACGACTACTTTTACACAAACCAGTGTAAAACTGAAAATTCTTAACAGCAAATGTTCGCTGGACAGAACTGTGCGATATGCATGATCACACCTGCTACTCTGGTGCGCGCTATTATTTGTTTCTGCCCTGTGAAAAGACGCCACAAAAGTTTTATTGACAAACGAAGGAATGGCTTTGTTTGATAAACGTGGTGAGGCGTGCGGCCTAACATAACTTTATGCATAACCATGAGAAACGTCACAAAGTCACTCAAGCTAATGCATCGTTCAGGCTTCGGGTGAGCCATATCCACCACCTCCTGGTGTTTGCAGTTCGAACACATCCTGAAATTCAAGTACCTTTGACCACTGCATGGGCTTTCCTGATATGTAAAGGTTTTCAGGCAGTCGAAAAGACTGTACTAACCCCAGCGCCGACCACAACACTGTTTTTGCTGCCCAAATTCACCACTCGGCCGCCGTTTCGTTTTAACAGATTCAATCCTCTAGCGCCATCGCCTCCACCGGCCAAGCCATAAGGAGCAACAGTTCGTCGTTCTGTTAACACTGAAAGCTTCAACGGCCGACGAAACTGTATTTTTCTGATGCATCCGTCACCCCCACGATATTTTCCCACGCCGCCGGAATTGTGTCGTACGCCAAACTCGCGCAGTATTACCGGATACCTTGATAATAGTGCCACGTTCAAATGCTGCGTAAGAATTCGCATATAAAACGGCGTCTCAGAAAAGAGAGGTGTGAGCAGCCCAGTCAAAACCATCTGACTGTGAGAGGAAAAAAAGCAAACAACTAAGTAAAATGGCGTAAAATTTAACTAGAGAGAGAAACAAATTTTCTCGATAAAGTGCAGAATTTGGCAAGGTCAATAAAATCAGCTCATATATGCTTAATCTGACAGAGCGCAAAACTTAAGAAATAAACAAGAAATACTTAAAGTCTAAGCGAGCAGAACGGACAAACAGACACTGTCTCTGGTTGGAAGGAGTATTTTAGGTATGAGGCGATAATTCTGAATATGACTTTGAAAATTATAACACGTTTTTATGCGTCTTGTGCTGCAACAGTTGCGCAAAACTCATTTTGTAGAGGCTCTCGGTGTGTGTGTGTTTGTTTGTATGTCCGTGTGTTTCGAGTGCAGTTTATCCAGGAATTTCAACTCGGAAACCGAAGAAGCAAGGAAGCTGAAATTTTAAGGAGGGACTACTTAAACCCATGGGATCTCGCAAATTCAAATTCAGCGTCTGCGCGTGCCTAAGCTTCACATAAGACCACTTGATGGCTTTGGCGCTTAAATTAATAATTCAGAAAGCACAGATGGTAAACTGTAAGAAGATGTCCCTTGCTCGCATATAACCCTGCAAACTCAAATTCAGCTTCTCTGCATGTCTAGAACTCACGTAAAGATACATGAAATTTTTGAGCGCCAAAATCTTCGATTAATACTCCAGCCCACGTACAAATTCAGGTTCTGCTTGTCCGAGTCTCAGATGTAATCAAGCCAAAGTTTGGCGCCAAAATTAGTAACTCAAGCACCACAAAAGCCAGGAGGCTGAAATTTTAGGCGTATAAACTCACTGTCGCGCGTGCCTAGTTTCATGTACGGACAAGTGAAAGTTTTGGCGTCAAAACGGATAACTCGGAAACCACAAACGACAAAGTTTTGGCGCCAAAATTAATATTTAATATAGCAAATAGTAAAGCAATGAACACTTTTAAAAGTAAAGTTCCCCTGAACAGAGTTGCACAAGCTGGATACGGTTGCAAAGCGTCCCCCGGATGGAACTATAAAAGCGTTAGCTGGAGAGGGATGCATAAAACGCATGATCACATTAGTTAACCTGGTGCATGCCGCTATTTATTAATTTTCCTTTCCGAGCTAGTGCACCAATGAAACATATTAAGGATACTAGTACCATCCAGACGATTGGTGTATGTGTATCCTACCTTAGTATACAAGCAGGATGCAGCTAATCCTACAGCTAGTCCTACAGTATCCTACAGTAAGTACCGCCTTTTCAGCTTATGTGTGTCACCTCTTCGCTGATCAGCCAGTTGGTCATCTACCTTTTTACGAGTACCACTAACTAACGCGAGATGTCTGCCTTGCTTCTACACTTTTACCTTTTCGTGCAATCGCCGTCGACATGTACTGTAGACAAATTTATCATTCAAGATAAAAAGTAATTCCAAAATGTAGCGCAACAATAAGGCAAAACGGTCAGGCTTTCGGACACATCAACTACACTTATATGCGCAGGAAAAGTGACCAAAAACACGACAGTTTTGCCTTACTGTCGCGCCAGATTCTACAATATTTATATTTTGAATGGTGAACTTGTTGCCGTTAAATCATGCAAAATCAGCGGTCTAATGCAGATCCACTTCACCCAAGCACCAAAAATCTGCATCAAGACTGTGCACTACCTCAATTCTAGAATCTCTGGATCGGTTATTTTTGTGTTTGTCATATGAGTGTGAACCGCAGATCGTCCACAGAAACCGTTTCCAGCCCCGGCTCCACCTGCTACCGTCTCATAATATCCGCCCATTTGTTCGTCTCCAAACAAGACGTTATTCATACAACCTAAATGGACTGACATTACTGAGACGACATCAGACACGCTAAAGAACGATCAATCGTTGAGCCTGTAATCTCTTCAAATGAAACAATCTTCGAATCGGTAGTAGGTTGCAACCAGGCGCTCCAGCATTGATGGAAGCAAATGAAAAAGTCCCCAGCTGAGAATCAGACCGAGAACTACCCTCTGAACTGCAGCTGACCAAAACACCACGTAACAAATCAGCAGGTCCTCACTTGCTGGATCCTCTTTCATTTAATTTGTACATTTCCAAATTAATTTCACTTTTTATACGTTTTTGCATGTATGCGGATGCAAAAACGCAAACTGGCAAGATATCTGTGTGTGTGCGTTTATATGTTTGTACTTTTTGTCATCCGGTTTCAATTCGAGAAGCAGGCAAGCTAGAAAGCTGAAATTTTGGGAGTATGTGACCATCTCCTGTGCAACCCTCTCGTTGTAATATTATTTATGCTGCCTACGGCCCATGTACAGACGCTTCAAAAAGTGTGCAAATTTTTTGGCGGGAAAGCGACCTTGGAATCCGAATTAGAGAGCTGAAACTTTGCAGGGATATCCTCTGTGTATGTGTGAGTTAAAGATTTTAATTCAAACTATGGCGCGCATTTGCGTTACGCGTATAATTACGTTAGTTTCTGTTAGCACTGCGCCAACTCAAGAACTAGCCGAAAAATAGTAGCTGGAACTTTGTCAGAAAATTTATCGCACATCCAAGAAGTCGTATAACTTAAGTGGAATTTCAAACTGCGCTTGAGCCACGAGCGTGTACACTGTGCTGCATTTCCAACTCGGGAACCACAAAAGCTACGAAACTGAAATTTTAGTAGAATGTTCCCTGCTTACTTGTAACCAAAATTCAGGCTTCACTTGTCCCCGCGTGCCACGTACGAATTCGCGAAAGTTTTGGCGTGGAAAATTATTACCTCGAGAGCAAGAAATTTCGGTGTGGAAAATTATTATCTTCAGGAGAATATTTTCTGCCTATGCATAGGCTTAAGAAACTCAAATTTAGCTCCCAATTACGATGAAGTCTCACGTACGATTATCTAAAAGTTCTGGCGCGAAAGTTACCCGCAAACTAGAATTAGATTGAAATTTTGAAAGGAATTCAGCGTTCACTTTGCTCAAGGTTTCGAATTCAGCTTTCACGCACATTTGCGTTTCACATACTGGTACGTAAAATTTTTGGTGGGTAATTTTGCAGCTTCGGAACCAAACAGTATATCGACTAATTTTGCACAAACCGAAGTGTAAAAAAATGAAAATCCTTAGCAGACAAACACGCGCTGGTCGAAATTGCAAAAAACGCATGATCACACCGGCTACCCTAGTACGCGCTACTATTAATTTTGAAAATTTAGAGTAGACTGTTTATGTGGATGTCTGGAAAACAATAGTAAAGAACAGAT